CAATTATTCCCTAGTTGCCCTTTTGAGCCTAATAAGTTTTTTCTTCTATAACCTCGTGATGATGACATTGTTGAGTCTCGGGTTGAAAATGGGAGTGGGTAATTGTGGAGTTTTGTTCATATTTTCAAAAAAATTAAAAAAAAAAAGAAGAAAAAAAAGAAGAAAAAAAAAAGTGAAAAAAAAAGAAAAAAATGCAGTCGAATGAATTGTCAATGTCCAAAGAGGTTGACAAAAAAAAGAAAAAATAAATGAAAAAAAGGAGCAAAAACAAAATAAGTTGGGTGAAACGTGTGTTTTTAGGAGAAGTGTGGGGGAAGATCCTGTTTGTTTGAGTAACCAGTTGAGCTTGCATTCGTGGGTTAAGAGTTTGAGTTGTATTCGAGCCACTTAGCCTATATTTATCCTACTTGTCCAAAGAGCCTACGTTACAACCCTGAAAGACCTTTTGATTCACTAGTTGCAGTTTTGATTGGTTTAAAGTAGAAGTTAGACAATGGGCAAGCCTACGATTGAACTTGTTATCGACTAATTTGAGTGCACTTATATCTTTATCTCTATAAGAAAGTGAGTGAGGTACACATATACATTCCATACTTGAGAGGACGTCATATTAAAGTTTAACGATCAAGCATGTAGTCGTGTTATGTTCGTATGTGCCATTTGAATGCTCATTGTTGAAGTTGAACGTGTTGAGGCTTATCTTGTTATCGACTGATGTCCAGGCTCGTTTTTTCTTTTCTTCTCTTTTCTTTTCTTGTCTTTTCTCTTTGTTCGGGACGAACAAAGGTCTTAGTGTGGGGGAGTTGTTTGTCCCATTTTTGTGTCTTTATTCATGTTTATTTTCTTTTTGTTTTCCCCAATTTGTAGGTTTTTCGTAGTTTATTTGGTCCAATTCGTTTGTTTTGTGTTTTTCTCTTTTGTGTGTCTTTTGGCCGTGTTTTGCTTCGTATTTTTCTTTGTTTTTGTGTTTTCAGGAGATAGGTTGTGCCGATCGAGGTTGGGACTGCTTGAGCCGAGGCCGTGATATCGAGAATACCCATTGCCGAGCCCAAAAGACTCGAGGAAGGACTGAAAAAAAATGGACAGAAACGGTTTCCAGAAAATTTCGCGACTCGCGAACATGTCGCGACCCGCGGTAAAAACTGAGGCTTGATGTGCAGTTTACGAGACGGAGTCGCGACTCGCGAGGTACAGTTGCGACTCGCGATTTGGGTAATATTAAGAAAATGACGACGCGCGACTCGCGACCAGGGAACTGACTACCTCGCGACTGCGACTTATCCGACGCGAATTTTGAGGACGGGATTTTTAGAGCAGATTTCAATCCTAGGGTTCATTATTCGACTTTCAGACTTTATTTTTACACTTTTTCTCTCTAGAAACTCATTCCTTTTCATGCTTTTTCTCTTTTGATTGGATTTGGAGATTGAAAAACTCCTCTTCTTTGCTTTGGATTTGGATGCACTTGGGTTTGACATTAGATTCTTATCATTAATCGTAAGTTATTTTTCTCAATTGTTTTATTGATGATGATGGCTTGGGTTTGCATGAATTTTGATGTTGAATTCCATATGAGTAGCTGAATCCATTCGCTAGGGATAGGGGATGATTGATTAGGTTCGATAATGATTGAATGCTTTTGATTGTTCATGTCTATTCGAGTTGTGTGAATTATAGGGTTAGTAGATTGATCACCTTTCTAACCTAGATAATCAACGTGTAGAACCGAGAGGGGAGACGTTGGTCGAATTAGGCTCGTTTAGAATAGATTTGTTCGAAAACGTATTATCTATGTGTTGTTGGAATTGATAGTTGATCGTTTACATTCACTCTTTTGTTACGAAGTGTTATTGAGAGTGAACCTCTGAACGAAAAGTGATTCAAGTCCTTTCACCGAGCAATTGATTGCCGGTAATTGTGATAGAACCTAAAGCAATTATCCCCGATTCCCTAGCTCTTTAACCATTCAGTGAATTTATTTGCCATTTTACTCGCGTTTAATCTAGTTTTAGTATTCTTAGTTGATAATCAAAAACCCCAAAATATTGAACTAGAGTGTTTAGGAATTTGTTTTCTCTTTTTCGTGATTAAATAAACGCACAAGAATATCCGGCTAACCTTCCTTGCGATATGACCCGGGGACGAATCTTTCGATTCTGCTCCGGTAAAAATAATGACAACAAAGTTGGCGCCGTTGCCGGGGAAGGTTTTGGACTATAATTGTGCGCCTATTCGTTTTTTTTAGTGTTTCTCTTATTTTTTGTGATTTTTCTTGTTTTCGTGTTTCTCTTTGTTTCTTTAGTTTAGTCTAGTAGCTCTTGCTTTCTTTAGCTTTCTTCTTTGTTTATATGGTGCTCGTGACGGTTTCTTTTGTCTTTGTGTATGCGTACCAGGAGTGGGCGTATCATAGGACCAAACGACGAACCAAGTCACGAGAGCGTAAGGGAGCTGTTTGACAAACTCAGCCTCGAATCTTTTGGAACCACTAAGCCAGACATGGCCCTAAAACAAGCGATCTCCGTCGAGACTTAGCCCATCCGATGATTGGGCCGATAATGTCATGCATCAGGTTGCCACAAGAAGCTCGGAACTACGAGCTTAAGATGATCCATTACAACCAACTGCCATCCTTCCACGGGCTCTCGAATGAAGACCCGCTTAACTTCATTCGGGAATTCTACAATGTGCTGCAGACCTTCCTTCTCCACGGGCTCACAGAAGAGCAACTGAAGATGAGGTGTTTTCCTGAGACGCTGAAGGACCGGGCCAAGGCTTGGTTCATGACCCTCGCACTGGACTTGCTCACTACCTGGACCGAAGTATACACGAAGTTCATTGAGAGGTACTACTCCCATCAGAAGACCCAGGAGCTCCGGTCGCAAATCGTCTCCTTTGCTCAACTACCGAACGAGCCTCTTCACAAGGCTTGGGAGCGGTTCAAGGATCTCCAGCGGCAGTGCTCTCATCACAACCTCTCTCCGGGGCTACTAATCAACTGCTTCTACAACTCCCTCCATCAGAACTTGCAGTATATGGTTGACAATGCGGCAGGGGGAGATATCGGAGCAAAAACGGTTGGAGAGATGTTCGACATTTTTTAGACGATGAGCAGGTATACGTCGCAGAAGAGCAGCCAAGGGAAGAGAGTGACAGTGAACGAGGTCGGGCCGGGCAACAATGTGATGGCCCAATAGTTAGCCGAGCTCACAGAGCAAATGCGTTTACTTAACGCACGAGGAGCTCAGCCGGTTCAGACCATGGCCGTTGATACGTGTGGGGCATGTGGAGTCCCAGGGCATAGGTCTGAAGTGTGCCCTTCAGCCTTCGATTAGGAGTTCAGTGAGCAGTATGCAGATGACAGCGCTTTACAGGGATACCAAGACCGGCCTGGCAATGACCCGTTTCCAAACACGTACAACCGGGGATGGAGGAATCATCTCAGCTTCTCTTGGTCCAACAACACGAACTCCCAGCAACCCCGTCCGAATTTCATGCAGCAGCAACCTCGACCCAACTTCATCCCTCGTCCAAACTACCAGCAACAGCAGCAGCCGAGAGGACCAGAAGTCGGGATGCAAGCACCGAGAGCCGGGCCAAGTTCATCCCTCTAGGACGACAAGCTCGACAAGATCCTCCAGTATATCACGAACCAAGATGCATCTATCAAGCGACTTGAGACACAAGTGGGTCAACTGGCCACTTTGGTCGGAACCATCGAGACTGAAATGAACAAGGGAAAGTTGCCTAGTCAGCTTGAGCATGTGAATGCTGTGACTGTGATTTTGCCCGGCATTGAGAGGGAGATCGTAGGAGACAAGAAGGAAGAAGGAAAAGAGGACCCAAAGAAGCAAGAAATCCCAGTGACACCGCTGGCTGAGCCAACCTTACACAAATCTCTGAACCCATACAGGCCGAAGATTCCCTTCCCAGGCCGACATTTGGAGGAGAAGAAAGAAAGAGACCCCGGTGTGTTTGTGATCAATATAGCTTTTGGGAGTGGGAAGGATGTTTCGGGGATGCTAGACCTTGGGGCAGGCATAAATCTGATGCCCCTCTCTACCTATCGGACATTTGGACTCGTCGGTCTGAGGCCCACCAGGATGCGTCTACAACTTGCCGATCACTCGCTCCGTCAACCCGAAGGGATTGTGGAAGATGTCCAGGTAAGAGTGGGGAAGCTGATAGTCCCCGTTGACTTTGTGGTTCTTGATATGGGAGATGTTAGAGAGAACGGGTATCAGCACACTATCCTCCTCGGACGACCCTTTATGGCGATCACCAACACAGTAATTGATGTGAAAAAGAGGACTGCAAGCATGATGGTGTTGGGAGAATCTACCTTCATCTCCGTTCGAGGGTCCCAGCTTGAGCCGCCAAAGCAATTGCAGGGTCATGTCCATGCCAACCGTCACACTCCCCCCTCCCGGCTGAGTTCGATGAAGCTGCCCCGGTCCCACTAGGGAGAGAGATATGATTTGTCAGCCGCCCGCTGCTGTTCCGGGCCTGACTATCTCCATCCTCCGCCTGCACCACCGAATTCACAGTGACTAGTTTAGTCACTGTGCACTGTATGATAGTATCTCTCCCTTTTTCTTTTTGCATTTGGTTCTATTTTTCTATTTGTCGCGAGTTAACCCACGAAATATATCCCATCGGTCCCAGTTTTTTCCGCGACTCGCGAAACAAAATCGCGACTCGCGACACTGAAGTCGCGACTCGCGAAAATGTCGCGAGTCGCGAGTATCCCCACATAACAAACATGTCATTCTCTGTTTTTTTTGCGAGTCGCGAGCAATGTCGCGACCCGCGACCTGTGGAGTCGCGGCTCGCCATACCTCCCGCGACTCAGATCGCGACTTACCTGTTGCTTTAATTGACCGGTTTTCTTTTCTTTTTGCAGGTTATCTCCATCTCTTCTTTCTCGCGACCACTTCTCTTGCGATAAGAAGGAACCCTTGCCCCGACTCAACCCGTCTCCTCCACTCAATCTCCGACCGCCGATGCTCCGACCACCGACGCTCCGACCACCGGCGCTACAGCCACTTCTGGTGAACTGTCGTCAACATCTACCGCTTCCTCTCAATTCCACCCTCTCACAACATCAACCCTAGCCCCTCTTTTCTGACATCCAATTTCGTCTAGCCACCACGCGACGCCGTCGTCTTCTCCGACCACCGTTCAACCTTCCATCACCGGCCCTCTGACCAACCAACGGCGACCTGCTCTCCAGCGAGCTCGGTTCCTCCAGCAGCAATAAACCTCATCCCTCGCTCACTCGTTCCTTCTCGCGCACTCGAGCAGCGACTCCACCATATCCCTCGTTCCCGACACCGTCACCACCGGCGTCTTCTCCGTCCATCTCCCTCCGCCCACAGCAGTAGAACAACACCTTCCGGCCTCCTTCACTTCTTCGAGCTCTTTCATAGCACAGTCTCGATTCGGCGCCCGGTAATCGTAATCTCGTCTTTCTTGCTATCTTGTGGCACATTGGACTTGTGTGAATTGTTGGTTGAGCAATTTGATTGAGGAATTTTAGGTTCCGCCATCTTTGGTATTCTACAAGCTTGAAGTTCACATTTTTGCCTACAAGGTGTTTGATATATTGCTTGAACTAGAACTTCAACTTCATAATGGTAACAAAGGGAGCCGGCAACAAACGTAAGAAAACGATCGGGGAATCCTGTTCCTCTCGGGATGAGCCGGTCGATTTACGGGCCGACTACAATGCCCCTTTTGCTATTCTCTCAGAACAAGAGGGGGAGGTTTATGCTTGGCTCGCGAAAAAGGATGTTTTAAAATTGAAGACCTTCGACTTCGCCTTACTCTTTGATCTTCGGATTTTAGAGACCGTCGAGTCCTACCTTGAGGCGATGCGCTTGACGACTTACGCCCACTTGGTCCACCCGACATACCGGAACCTCACACTCGAGTTCTTTAGTACACTCGAGTTTCCGTCGACCAAGGACTACATGATGTGCCGTCTACTTGGGACACGGAGGATCATCACTGATGACGTCATGAAAGACGTCGTGGGCCTCCACCGTGGCGGCGCACGAATGAATGAGGGGATGACGCCTGATATTTTCTGGCCCCAGCTTTCTCCCGACACGCTGTGGGACTCACAGGGCTTAGCTAATAGCCTCATCAAGGACGGTGCTATTGCTGTGATGCACAAATTTTTGTGCCATGGTGTGTTCGGGAAAAAGGAGGCCAACAAGGTCACTCAGATTGACCTCCCCCTGCTGTGGGCTATGCTCGAGAGGAAGAACCGAGATATGTTGGATATTTTTAAGGAGGAGTGTCGGGCCGTCATTCTGAACAAGAGAGCGGCTGCCTGCTTTGGTCATATAGTGACCGCTCTGGCTTTGCACTTCGGGGTTGACCCGGCGGCATTTGGCAGCCTTTTTACTCGTATGCGGTTCATTGACTCCTACGAGCTAAGTCATTCGGGCCTAATTCGTGATCGCCGCACCTTTGAGGCCTATACAGAGCGCCCGACCTACGCCGCTTATATGAAAAAGGTGGGTGCGGCCGATTCCACAGCTCAGACAGGCTCGTCTCGTCCTCAGCAGGAGACCGAGGATACCCACGAGACGGAGGCGATGAAGCACGATCAGGCTCTTATCAACGAGGACCATCTCCTTCCGCCGCCTACTGATTGACAACCGACCCCGGAGGCCGATTCCCGGGAGCCACGGACCATACGTTCGCAGCAGTGACCAGCGGGTACGTCTGCACCGCCCGCTTGGTGGTCCCAGCCTCCTCCGTGGTGGACGGCTTACGAGGACCGCTATGATCGGTACATGAATGCCCGTTTTCAGGCTATTGAGTTATGGCAGACTCAGTGGGACGCGCGGTTCGCACAGTGGAGCTCCGACACCGGTCAGCCCTATCCTCCTCATCCTTCTCCTCCTCGTGGACCACAGTGACTTGTCACTGTGTTGGTTAGCTTTTCTTTTTCTTTTCTCTTTATTTTGTTTCTCTTTTGTATTTTCTCTTTGTTGTGTCTTGTCGGTTGATTGTGTAAGTACAACTTCCTTTCACTGCGGATCGACAATGCGGACATTGTCTGATTTTATGTGTGGGAGAGTTTATGTGGCTATATGATTGACCAGGTCTAGTTTTTTTTTTTTTATTTTATTTTAGGGTGTGTTTATTTATTTCTTTTGCTTGTGGACCAGTCTACTGTAGGATTTATGTGTTTTGGATTCTGTACTTGGAAAATTCATAATGAGTTAAGACGTGTTCAATGAATTCGATGAGTTGTGATATTGGTATTGTATGGCATAGCGTGATGAAATGCTTGGTATTGCTTTGATTGACATTCATATATTTGCCTAGTGAGGTTTGAGCCTTATTTCTTTCTTGAGATACATTGGTCGTGCTCTTGTTTGATTAGAACTTGCCCTGAGTCTGCATCGAAATGAATCAATTTGGGTTGTGAACTGTGAATATGATTAAGGCATTTTTTGTATTTTTCTATCCTTGTTTTTCTGCAGTTATTCCCTAGTTGCCCTTTTGAGCCTAGTTGTTTTTTTATATATATATATAACCTCGTGATGATGACATTATTGAGTTTCGAGTTGAGAATGGGAGAGGATAATTGTGGAGTTTGTTTATGTTTTTCTAAAAAAAATGTAGCCGAATGGATTGTCAATGTCCAAAGAGGTTGACAAAAAAAAAAAGAAAAAAAAGTGACCAAAAAGGGTCGCACCAAAAAAAAAGAAAAAAAGAAAGAAAAAAAAGGAGCAAAACAAAATAAGTTAGGTGAAACGTGTGTTTTTAGGAGAAGTGTGGGGGAAGATCTGGTTTGTTTGAGTAACCGGTTGAGCTTGCATTCGTGGGTTAAGAGTTTGAGTTGTATTCGAGCTACTTAGCCTATATTTATCCTACCTGTCCAAAGAGCCTACGTTACAACCCTGAAAGACCTTTTGATTCACTAGTTGCAGTTTTGATTGGTTTAGAGTAGAAGTTAGACAATGGGCAAGCTTATGATTGAACTTGTTATCGACCAATTTGAGTGCACCTATATCTTTATCTGTATAAGAAAGTGAGTGAGGCACACATATACATTCCATACTTGAGAGGACGTCATATTAAAGTTTAGCATCAAGCATGTAGTCGTGTTATGTTCGTATGTGCCATTTGAATGCTCATTGTTGAAGTTGAACGTGTTGAGGCTTATCTTGTTATCGACTGATGTCCAGGCTCGGTTTTTCTTTTCTTCTCTTCTCTTTTCTTTTCTTTTCTCTTTGTTCGGGACGAACAAAGGTCTTAGTGTGGGGGAGTTGTTTGTCCTATTTTTGTGTCTTTATTTCATGTTTATTTTCTTTTTGTTTTCCCCCATTTGTAGGTTTTTCGTAGTTTATTTGGTCCAATTCGTTTGTTTTTTGTTTTTCTCTTTAGTTTATATATGTGTGTCTTTTTGCCGTGTTTTGCTTCGTGTTTTTCTTTGTTTTTGTGTTTTCAGAAGATAGGTTGTGCCGGTCGAGGTTGGGACTGCTTGAGCCGAGGCCGTGATATCGAGAATACCCGTTCCAAGCCCAAAAGACTCGAGGAAAGACTGAAAAAAAAGGGGACAAAAACGGTTTCCAGAAAATTTCGCGAGTCGCGACCTCATGTCGCGACCCGCGGGAAATACTGAGGCTTGATGTGCAGTTCACGAGACGGAGTCGCGACTCGCGAGGTACAGTCGCGACTCGCGAGGTACAGTCGCGACCAGCCCCAGAATGTTAAGAAAATGATGACGCGCGATTCGTGACTAGGGAACTGACTACATCGCGACTTATGTCGCGACTCGCGACTTATCCAGCGCGAATTTCGAGGACGGGATTTTTAGAGCAGATTTCGATCCTAGGGTTCATTATTCGACTTTCAAACTTTATTTTTACACTTTTTCTCTCTAGAAACTCATTCCTTTTCATGATTTTTCTCTTTTGATTGGATTTGGAGATTGAAAAACTCCTCTTCTTTGCTTTGGATTTGGATGCACTTGGATTTGACATTGGATTCTTATCATTAATCGTAAGTTATTTTTCTCAATTGTTTTATTGATGATGGTGGCTTGGGTATGTATGAATTTTGATGTTGAATTCCATATGAGTAGCTAAATCCATTCGCTAGGGATAGGGGATGATTGATTAGGTTCGATAATGTTTGAATGCTTTTGATTGTTCATGTCTAGTCGAGTTGTGTGAATTATAGGATTAGTAGATTGATCACCTTTCTAACCTAGATAATCAACGTGTAGAACCGAGAGGGGAGACGTTGGTCGAATTAGGCTCGTTTAGAATAGATTTGTTCGGAAACATATTATCTATGTGTTGTTGGAATTGATAGTTGATCGTTTACATTCACTCTCTTGTTACGAAGAGTTATTGAGAGTGAACCTCTGAACGAGAAACGATTCAAGTCCTTTAACCAAGCAATTGATTGCCGGTAATTGTGATAGAACCGAAAGCAATTATCCCCGATTCCCTAGCTCTTTAACCATTCAGTGAATTTATTTGCCATTTTACTTGCGTTTAATCTAGTTTTAGAATTATTAGTTGATAATCAAAAACCCCAAAATATTGAACTAGAGTGTTTAGGAATTTGTTTTCTCTTTTTCGTGATTGAATAAACGCACAAGAATATCTGGCTAACCTTCCTTGCGATACGACCGGGGACGAATCTTTCGATTCTACTCCAGTAAAAATACTGACAACAAAAACACTATATGGATTTAAGTTTATTTCACCCATAAACCATGCATATAAAAGCAATGAAAACAAAAGAAAAAAAGACATAATAGAATTCAAAAATGACATGAAATTTGACTGTATTTCATAGATAAATAATAGATTAATATTTCAAAGATGATATTGTAAAAAGAAAAAAAAATCACAAATGATAACGTACAAACAAAGAGATATGACATCATTTCAAAGAGACTCATATATTTGATTGTGAAGACTGAAAAGAAAAATACATATATATCGTTCATTTCTTCAATGAATTTTCAACTATATACTAGATCGTTTCATGTTAGTTTTTGGTATTTTTTTATTTTTAGTTGGTATAATTTATTTTGTTTTTGAAAATCTTGAAGAGTCCACTTAAACGTATGTGCATAAAGTTTTTGCCTTCATTAATTTTCTTAATTGGTCTATAATTATACAACTATAATTTTTGAAAGCATAACGGGTTAATTTAGTTACTGTTAATGTTGTATTTCTATATCGTATATTGTTTTCTTAAGAATGGCGATAATGTATCATCTTTATCGAAACATTGCGACATATAAAGTTCTAAAACTTACTATAAATGTAATAACTATTTTTTCTTCATCATACATCACAATAGTTAGTTTTACTTTTCATTGTTTTAGACTTATATATTATTGTTTATATTATTAAATATTTTATTATTTATAATTGAAAATAATTTTGTATTTCTAAATAATAAGTTAATTAAAATGATCTAAAATTTCAATCAAAATAAGTTTTAGCTATTGACCTAACATTGACTGTGATTATCTTGATTATTCCTTAATATAAATTATGAAAATAAAAAATACAACTTTAAAGAATATAATAAAAAATAATTCAATATGTATAGATATAAACTTTTATTTTGTACAATGAGATGAGCATTTATTTTCATAGTTTGATATAGTATAAAAATAATAGATTTAGATTTCGGAGCATCTATTTTAGTCTCACTTATGGATAAGCAATATAAGAATATTGCGAAATGATAATAGAAAATGATAATATAAAGAGTGAGAGGTCTCAACAACAATAAGAGAGTTAAAAAAAGTAATAATATAGTTTTGACTCGGAAGACGAAATTATCATATTGATTGAATATTTTTATCCGATAATTATTTGTTTCATTTATTTCATTTGAGCTTAAATTTGAGGTTATGTAAAAGTTGGTAAAAAGTGATAGCCTTTAATTTTTTTAATAAATACACAATTATGCAGCTAAAACTTTTATAAATAAAAATAGCATAATGTGTCAATTACTTTTGTTTATAAACATAATTTTTTTTTCATAGAGAATGATGAGAGTACATTATCGCAACTGAATGTGTAGTAGATAATGTTAAACACCACTTATTATAATGCATCAACTATTTTTCCCTTATCATATATCATAATGTTAATTTCACAACAATGTGTTTTTTTACTTTTAGATTTTATATCATATAATTTAAATGTATTTTTCATATTACTTTACAAAAAGTTTGTCAATGTGCATTTCTAAAAATTCAATTAAATTACAATTCTCACCGATTTCATGCAAAAATAAGTACTTTTTTTTTAACAAAAAAATAAGTACTTTAATATTACACTGAATTACAATTTTCATGAATTTCATGCAAAGAAAAAAAGAAGTATGTTAAGAATACAAAATTATGCAGCTAAAAATTTTATAAATAAAATTAGCATAATGTGTCAATTATCGTTTAGCTTTCTTTCACATTATTTTTTTTTCATAAGAGAATGATGAGGGTATATTATCAGAATTGAACGTTGCAGTAGATAAAGTTAAACACAACTTATTATAATGCATCAACTACTTTTTTCATATCATATATCATAATGTTAATTTCATTTTTTTTTTCTTTCAGATTTTATATAATATAATTTCAATGTTTTTTTTTGTATTACATTACAAAAATTTTTCAAAGTGTTTTTATAAAAATTATATCGAATTATAGTTCTCATCGGTTTCATCCAAAAATAAGTATTTTAATATTACACTGAATTACAATTCTCATGGATTTCATGCAAAAAATAAGTATTTATTGACTTGAGCATTAATGATTACTGAGTCTGATTATAACTTTATGAAAAATGATCAATCTTTCACATCTTTCTCTAACCACCATCACACTTATTTTGCAAAAAAAAAAAAAAAAAAGTAAAATAAAATGTTGAAATTTATTTTGTTAATAAAAAAAAGTGAAAAATATGTAGACTTAATTTAAAATTAAATACATGCAAATAGAAATTATTTTTAATTTTTCTTAAGTATCTAATTTGTATTTATAAATTTTAATTTGTTCATCTTCGTATATGTTAACGTTAATTATTCAATATTAGCTTATTTGCATAATAGTAATTATGACTTTGTTTTCTTTTTTGAACTATGAAAATTATGTTATCACATATACAATTTTATGAAAATTTTTTGAAGGAGTGTCATTAATATGACAAATAATTTTTTCCATGGTATATCACATATTTTTGTACGCTTAAGAATTTAATTTTAAAACATTTAAGAAAAAAAGTATATTGGATTTTATAATTTTTTTTTCATTGTTACTGTTTCTAGAGTCACGATCTATGTTTTCTAATTATTGTTATTACAGTTAGTGATAACGAACACAATTCATCTACTATTAATGTTATATTTGTGGAAGTATTTTAAAATGGATTAATAAAAATTTATTCTACATTATCTCAATTGATGCTTTTAAAATATTTTTCTATTAAATTATCATTCATTTATACCATTTTTAATATCAGGCCGCGCAACGCACAAGTCACATACTAGTCAGAGTTCAGAATCAAAGTCACATGAGGGAAGGGAAGATCTAAAACCAAATTCAAATTTGAAATTTGAAATTTGCAGTCTTACAGATACAACAACATATGAACAAAGTCAAATTCAAAGATTAGCAATCAATATATAAAAATCTTAATTCTAGTATTTCGTTTAGGCTTATGTGCCGGAACCCAACCAGAGCCCCGCCGAGTCTTGATCTCTCTGTCGCTGTTTCTTCTCGTCCTCTCCATCGCGGCCTCGTCGGGTCTCGCCCTCTCCATCGCCGCCTCGTCGGCTCTTGCTCCTGCAATTGGCGGCAGATACTTGGGGTTAGGATTCTACTTTTTTGTGGTCGTGAGAATTTTGGGGTGTCAAAACTCAAAAACAACAATTATTAAAGCTACCTGTCAAAACTCGAACGTGTCCCACAGCTCCGAGTCGCACGCCGGCGGCGCGAAAGCCGACCCGATCACGTGGAACTCCGCCAGCGTGATTCACCTGTCGTTGTCGCGGTCGACCTCCCCGAGCATCAGCCGGAGCTCCTCCCTGCACCCAATCCGCACAACTTCTCCACCTTCCGGATCTTCCCGTTACCGTCTGTGTCAATCATCTCGAACGCTTGCGGAGATCTCAGACCACTCGTCGGTGGAGATCTTGGACCACTCGTTGGTGGAGCTGGAGGGGAGGACGGTGGTCGGCGTGCCCATGCCGCTGCCCTCCTCCTTTTTGTATATGTCCTCGGAAGAGGCCGAGGAGAACGTCGCCTCGGAGCTCAAAGACGGCGGATCAACTTTGGATCTGGAAACAAATTGAGATTTTTTGGGTCTGAACAGCTTGCCAGGGATGATCTTGGCGAGTTTCATGGTGGAGATAAGAATCCAACGGAGGTGAGAGAGAAGAAGGCGAGGAGAGAGGAGAATATGGAAAATTGGGGTTTGAGGGAAAGAGAAAGGGGATAATTTTTTGAAGAGATAATCAAAGATATATTAAAAAGGAACTTAAATTTATCCGACAGAGAAGAAATCTCATTCAAAACATACTGAATTTCAGAATGAAAAAATTTCAATTTTTAAAAAAATTTAAAAAAAAAAATATTAGGAGAAAAAATGATTTGAGCTGGAAAATAAAATAATTTTTCAAACATTTTTTCTTCTCTCTATTATTATATTTACTTCCATTTTCATTTAGGTCTTCTTACAAGAGTCGACTTCCGCTTGTCACTGGCTTAACTGAGTCTCTTGGCCAGTGACTAAGAAGGCATTGCCATGGCATAGCGAGGCCTGACTTGAGTAGCTGTGGCAAGGTGGGGTTGCAAAAGGCGCTCGCATTACGTGAGGCGTGGCGTGGCGAGGATGTGTTTGCTACTGACAAAAACTCTTCTTCGATTCTAAATTACACACATTCTCTCCAACAAAACCCTAAAAATAATTTGTGCCTTTCCTTTACCTGACCGAGGGAACCAGATTCCGATTGTTATCCGGCGACGGCAGAGAATAATGTGTTTGTTCCTTTTCTGTTACATTTTTGGCATTTCGTACTCTTTTTTATTTTTTGGTATGGTGGAGTTGTGATAGGGCTGCCGCCGGTTAGTTACATCGCCAACGCCAGAGCCACTGTTTCGAGTTTTGTTTAGCTTTCAATTTTTTTCTTAAATTAAATTAAATTTTAGTTTAGGAAGATAATATCTAAATTTAACTTGTTCATGGTTTATAGGCCCAATGTTTGATGTTTATATGTTGATGTTGGATTTCTAACGTGTAGTCTTGTGTTACATGTTTGTTATCTATAATGATTTGTTTTTACATATTGTGGCATAGCCAGCGAATTATAAGATTTATCTCTATTTTGGCATATTGGCCTGCCTCACTTTCATAAGACAGGGGTCTCGACTCATGCCATGTCTAATAGGAGACTTGTTGCCTCGGCTTTTCTACGTGCAGTTTTAGTTGATGCTATTGGCTAGATTGAAGAAGTTATAGAGCTAAAAGAATAACAGTATATAAAGAGTAAAAAATCTGCGAAAATGCTGAAAGTAAAAAAGTATTAGATAAATCTGAAACATTATATTTTTTTGCTGTTATTTGTTATTAATTATCGTACCCTTGTGGTTCCAGGTTGATCATGACAATGTTCGGCTGATTCATCAAGATATTTCCCACCGTTTGATTGAACCTGAAAAGGCTGCTATTGCTGCCAAAGAAACTCTTAAACATAAAATTGCCATGCAGCTTGCTTAGACTTCTAGCCCTGGAATCTGCCAAAGAAACTTTAAATTGATCCAAATTACTCCGAAGATGTGGTATGCTTGGGGTTACATTGCATTTAAGTAGAAGATGATTTCATTCTGGCTGTATATGTGGTAGTTGGTCATCTATTAGAAATCTCTCACTTATCTTTTGCATGTAATCTGCATGTAATCAACACATTAGTCGACCAGATTTTAGGTAGCTGGCGAGATATGGGTTCCTTATTTCTTTTGTTGATTTTCATCTGTTATTATATTTGGTGATTATATATTTGCTTTTTCTGCCAATCCTTTTAGTGACTAGTAAGTATTAACTGGATTTATTTGCATTACAACAGAAACTGCAAAGCCGAAAAAAAGATTCATGCTTTTAAGTCCAAGATGCATGGAAGCCATAGCAGTTGTCCAAAATAAGAGGCAAAATGCCTGACAAACTCCAGACAACTAAAGGCCGAGTTAAAAAGGTACGCATGCTAACCTAAGTAGCATACGCCACCTTGTCTTGTATACACGTGATTATCCTTTAAATGATTAAGTATCTCATGGTTCATTGTTATGGACGAGCAAGTATTTCCTCTGCCTTTGTTATCCATGATTATGTAGAAAGTCATTGCTGACCAGAACTTCTTACCTCGGGGGTAGGGTTATACTTTTGTGATTTTATTAGAAGACCAAAGAAAAAGAACACAAATATTTTCCTGTTTGCACAATGTTGAAACTAGAAGGCAGGAATGATCTTATTTTACAAAGATGACAGGAATCTTTCCTTTAACTTGTGTTGTTTAAGAACAGGCAAGATAATGTAATGTTTATCTAGCTCTTCTCTCATTTTATTGAAGAGATTGAGTTTTCCTGCTCTTTTATTCATGTTTTCTCCATTTCATAACATTCTCTCTCTCTCTCTCTCTCTGTTTTTCTTTTCCTTTTGTTTTCAATTTTTTTATTTTTTGAGTGTGTGATATCAATGAGAAGTAAAGACCATGGTGTCTAACTTTGAGAAACAAAACCATACTCATCAATTGTGGTATCTTCTCTGTACAATATANTGTCCTATCTTTTATTTTTTGGTTTATTACGCAGGTGGGGTTTCTTTTAGGGACGAAAGCGAGATACCATATTTAAATCTAAAGACGATCTGCTTGGGAAGGTTGGTGTGGTTGGAAGTGGAAAGGGTTTGATGGAGTTTCAGAAAAAAAAGGAAAACTGTCTTCAACTGAAAGGAGCTAATATAGAGATTGCAGATGGTGAGTCTGCATAATAGACATTTTCTTTTTCTTTGTTTTTCCCCTTTCTCATTTTCCTTCCAATCTGTGGTTACATAGATGTATTCAGGTCAACCGACTCAATGGATTTAACTGAATTAAAGGTTCGATTTTACAAGTGGAAGTTTTTCTGTCTTAATAACGGCTTACTATATGCTGCCACTGGCCAATACAATATTTGATGATAGCTTGTGTTGCTCTGTATGTGTCTAAATTGTTTTGGATTCTAGATACTATTGTACCTTTAATTATTCTGTATATAGGGCAAGTGATTTTATTGATGCTTTCAATTTGAATATCTGGTAGCTGACTATTTAGATATAGTTGATGTTATTACTAGAGGACCAGTGAGTGGTCTAGTTATTGGCTGAACTCTTGCATTCTCATTTGCCATTTGTTTAGTTTGCTATGATGTCGCTGTTGAGCACATTGCAAATGGATCATTTATGTTTGTTCGAGTGTACACTTATTTTTGTATGGTATGCATAAGAAATTATGTTACTTTAGCCGATGTCCTCAATTTCTTGTCTGGCTCTGACCTCTGATTAGCTGATAGTGTCACTAACAATTCCATGTTCTACAGAAGTATATTACAAATAGCAGAATATGTATTGGCTGTCCTTTTGATTTGAGGAATGCAACTTAAGACCATAAATATGAAACTGCATTCAACTTATTATAAAATCATTTTTTGGTTTATTGCAAGTACATTTAGTAATATTTGGAATATTTATAATGATTATGTTGACATACATGACACTGGCGTCTGGACTGTACTGCCTTATGTATCAATTGCGCACACACACACACACACACAAACACAGAATCTGAATGCAATACCCATTGAGAACTAATGCTAGTGTGAAAACTGTGAAAACCTTTAGTGATGGTATTATTGGTGCAACATATGTTTAACTCTCAGAAAGCCTCGTCCTTTTTATTCTGTTTAGTTTCACAACATGAATTTGTTTTGGTTTCTTTCTTTCAAATTCATTGTTTTGTTTGGGATCATCAGTCTCAACCAGATTTGGCATATAAGCATTAGAAGTTAGCTCATTCCATTTATAGAAAATTAACTCGTTAGACATGTATGTTACGCTACTCAAATTGTATGTTATGCTACTCAAATTGTTGTCTTTTCCCCCCAAAATTCCACTGTACAAAGACTTTCAGATGAACTGAACTAAGTCTTGTTAGTCAATTTGATTTTTGCTATAGATTGGTTGTGTGGTGACTGTTACACCATATAAATTCCTACATCATCATACCCACGATTGAAAGATAAAGCTGATAGTGGATAAAACATAAAAGGTTAACATGGCCATTCTCTCCTTTTTGTTGCCCAACCATGCTCATCTTTTAAGCTGCATAATTAGGAGCATCGACCTATCAAGCAATGGTATTAAGAGGTCTTTACAAAGGGTATTAAAAGTGGGGAGGGGCCCTCACCCATAAACATGTTTGAGACATGTCCCTTTGGTGGCAAAAGTGTGAAATCATTTTGCAAAAGAACAACAAAAATTAGGACATCATCCTCCATAAAGCTTCACGGTCGATGGATAAGGTTGTGGTTGGGCATACTTCCATTTTGAAAATCCACTTTTGAGCAAACAAAGATTTTATTAGAAGTTTGTACCATTTGTGCAACAAATGGTGGAGTATTGGTAGAGTGTTGATGGTTGTAGCTACACAGGTGGGTGATTAATGAATTATGGAATAGTAGCAATTAGTGATTATTTTTTTTTTTTCTTAAATTAGTAAGTACATATTTGTGCAGAAATTTTTGAATTTTTACAAGTGACTTCAAAGGATATGAAATAGGGAGAACCTCTCTCGTGAGCTTCCAGAGAGAGAGAGAGAGATGATTGTTTTTATTTATTTCTTTATTTTTTAATAAAAAAAGAGATGCATGTATTGTTGCCTTTTGTGCTGTAGGGTAGAGTTCCATAATGTGTTGAGTTAAGACACATCAAATCAAAGTGTACTATAGAAGTAACAAGAAATGCGGAGGCACTATGTATGTATGTAGTTGCTCCTTGTCCACATTGGCTACACATGTTGTGTGGTGAAGTGACTATTTGACTCTAATAGTGCATCTTTAGTTGTGCACCGTACATATAATTTATAAATATGCTCTCCCTACATTTTCTCCTTTCATCATGTCGTATCTGTGTCAAAGAGGTTCTTTGAGTTGTGAGCCCTTGAAAACAAAGTGCCTTCTTTCTTGTCAGTCTCATTCAGTATTTGATCGGCCCTTATTAGATGCCGCTGTTGAGGGTGTTTCATGAGATGTGGGATCGAATCCATTTTTGTTTTCANGGTACATTTTGGTCATTTCACCTATAGCTTCATATTATTTACCCTTCTAAATGTCTTCGATAACAAATAAAATCCATAATCCATATAAGACACTTAAATTTGATAAACTATCTAACTCGAGAAAATTGTATATTGAATTAGAAAAATATTTAATACCAATTAATTATCTTAGCTTATATAAAATATTACACATCTTCATAACAAACCTAGGAAACAAACCCTAATACAAGATCAGTTGCACGGAATAGAAGCCAATTATTGATGCCAAACCTTTACACTATGCAAATCCCATCTTAGTCATCCCTAATACATAGCCTTCTTTCTTTTTTTGGGTTTTGAATTAATCCCACTAGTCTTATTACAATTCTAGGCATGGAAAACACACCATCACAATCTCTATATATTCTCGTCTCCCCCAACCTTAATACCATCCGTATTATTCGACTTGGATCGATTGCGCAAGTACCACCTCGCCCAGAATATATAGTTAAGGAAATTCGCGAAACTCAGAACCGCCAACATCCAATAGAACAAATCCAATCTGTCCTTATTCAAGTTATTATCACTCAACCACCCCTTCCGTGACGATGAGCCACTGACTCTGTTCACGACCGACACAAGCACTGAGCTCAGATAGAATCCGAACGAGTACGAACAATAGGTGATAGCTGTCAGGAATGCTTGCATGCCTCTCAACGACTGCTTGTAGAAAAACTCGATCAACCCGACTGCAGTAAACATCTCAGAAACCCCGAATATCAGAAATTGAGGCGTGATCCAGAATATTGAGATAGTCTCGTTCGACTGGACTGCCGCCTGGCGCCTCTTATTCTCCATAAGAGCCGCAGAGACCATGGAGAAGGTGGCCAGGACAAGGCCAGCGCCAATCCGGTGGAGTGGGGGCAAACCAGAGTCATGGCCCGTGATGCGGCGGGCAAAGGGTACAAAGAAGGTGTCGTACAATGGGACGATGAAGATGAGCATGAGGTAAGGGATGGCTTGGAGGGAGGCCGGGGGAATGTGGAAGGATTTGGTGACGCGGGTGTCCATGGAGCTGCCTTGTTGGACTGAGAAGGTCTGGAGTTGAGCCAGTATGGTGTTGAACACGATTGTGCAAGCGAATATGGGCATGATCAAGATGAGTATCTTGACTCGCTCGACTTGGGCCATGGTGCAAAGTGTCCAAGGGCTCTCAGCCTTGTCGGCCGCAGTCTTGATACAGGCCTTGTTCAGGAATCTATGGAAAAATTTGATATGTATGCGTTTTCAACTCATTTGTAACCGAAAACTGTGGAAAGAGTAGTTATGCCGATGATATAGAAATTCTATGGAGCAATCGGATGGTTTTCTTATGGAGCTATTCATCACTTAATGTATTGACACTTGTCCAAAGTATATTTATTGTAGAACACATGTCAATATACTATTTGTGAGTAAATGTGGATGACTCCATAACAAAACTGGCCGATGATATATAGAAGAAACAAAAAATCTATAGTTATTATTTCTTTTAATAGTTTAAACGGCACTTCACTATTTGTAGCTACAAACTCACATAATCTACTATAGTATAACGTTTTTTTTTTTAATTAAAAAATATATATGTACCATTAGATATTTACTTTTTAGCTAGGATCTTAGACCACGTTTAATTATAAGTTAGTTACCTAAATCTATGAGTGAGTTGAAGCTCGGAAGTTGTTTCAGTGAAGGAGTTGTCGGTATTTGGCTCCTTGGTGGTGTTGTATCCATTAAGCATCCGAGGATCGGATGGACAAACTTGATTTCTCTTCGCAATTGCAGCCACAACCACCTAACAGAGGAAAAAAGGTTAAAAAATATAATTACATAATGTAAAAAAATGAATAAGTACTTTATTTCTATTTACTTGTTTAATAAGCAAGATGTCAAATTTTCCGACACGTCTTAATGTTGTAATTATATTTTGGCACACTAATGAGTTCAGCTTTTGGCAATTGCATCAACATGAGCTTAATTAATTAGCAATTATGCATTGGAGGCTTTATTTTTCCTATATTCAGCAAAAACACGACAAACCAAAGTGGGATCATGCATTCATAAACAGAAATCCAACAGTTGACCACACTAGATATGTGAAATAAAAAATAGCCACCACAACTTCCATTAATTAAAAATGACACCATATCCATATGCTAAAAATAATAATATTAAAACGAACCTTTAGCTAGAAAGGTCCAAATTAAATTAAATGCATAAATAAAAGATGCAACTAAAAATAGTCAAAGAAGGTGGAGAAATTTTCAAAACCAATACTTATCAAGAACATGATGACCTATATGCTATAACAAGTAGTCAACTGCGGCTATTTAACCTTTTTTTTTTTGTTTGTTTCTTTTTAATTTTTCCCCTCGAGATATTTCAATACGGAAAGCCATCATAGAGATGGATATCTCAATATCATAGTGGCCCTCTTTGGTAAAACGTAACGTTCGTATTTTTATTGCGTCAAAAAGCATAATTATTAGTTATATAGGCTTAATATAAGAATCAAACATTTATAATAAAAAATACTATTGCGTAAAAAGTAACGTGCGTATTTACTATTATTAATAATAATAATAATAATAATAATAATAATAATAATAATAATAATAATAATAATAATAATAAAATAATAATAAAATAATAATAATAAAGCTTACTTGTGCAAGAGGAGTCAAGATGGTGCCTCGAGGAGTCTTGTTCCTATAGAGAAGTGTACCACAAATTAAGCTAATAAGCCCCATAGCCATAGCTGCAGCCGAGACCCCAAACCCGATATCCATTCCGGAATGCGTTTGGACATAAACGAGCACGGTCAACGCAATAAGCTCCCCCGTGGAGAAGGCGAAATAGGCTGCATTAAAGTATCTAGAGAGCTTCTTGGACTCTTTGGGCTGGTCTTGGTTGAACTGGTCGGCCCCATGGGCTATCATGTTGGGCTTCACACACCCACTCCCCAAGGCCACTAGATATAGTGCAACGAAAAATATGAAGGCCTTCACACCATCGGCCTCCTTGCATTTGGGCCCGTCCGTCAACATGTTGCATGCCGGTGGCTTCAGTTGGGGGAGATGGGCTTGGACCGATAGCAATATGAAACCCTATACACACACACTAAGAAAAATAAGGCTATGTTTGGTAAAATTAACTGATTAGTAATTTTTGAACTTATAGCTTATACCTGATTACTTATAGCTGAAAAACTAGCTTAATTATATGATAAAACTGTTTGGTAAAATTAGTTTATAAGCTAGCTGAAATAGAAATTTCGATGAGTTTGTTTGAAAAACTGCTTAAAGAAGCTTATGAGATAAACTCAAAAGCTAGTTATACCAAACGAAACTTATTAAAATACAGGAAACATATAAACTAGCTTATTTATCTGTCAAACATAGCCTAAATAAATGTGTGCAAGCGAAAATAGCTCGAAATCTAGGTCGGGTAGGATTGGAACTCTCAACTAGTGTTATGGATTCAAAGTCAACGAGTCAACAACGTGATGGATTTGGTCAAAAAGATGGTATTTTTTGAGGATTTCTAATATTTTCGTATTATTACCTATCTTTATAGATTAGTTTGAGTGATGGAATTTGTCTTTTCACAATATTTCTCTCATACTACCTATCTTTTAAGATTACTTCAGCCACCCCTATCTGTCGTGACTAAAAAGCTCATTAATGAGTGTGTGTAGTCTACTATATATACTTTCAAAATATTAATAATAATTAATGGCATGCCCCAATGATGGATATAATATTACATTTTGTGATGACCACTTGAAAAGAACGGAGACTTTTGCTAAAATTAAAGGAGGGTTGATTTGGGAATATATATATATATATATGTCTAGTCTACCTATATATATGCTTAAAAAATGATTACAATCCATCATTCCGTTAGTATTTTTAACCGTAGATTATTTAATCTACACTAATTTATATATATATCTAGCTAATGGTTAAAAATACTGACGAAATGATTTCGTAATGGGACTATAGTTATTTCCGTTTAAAGTATATGTAAGAATTAATAATTAGAGATATTTATTAAAAAAAAATCCAATTTAGAAAGTATATGTATATATGTGTGTGTATAGTTGTATACGGACCGAAAGTTCGACAAAAGCGAAAATGAGCATAGTCCAAAAACAGCCGAGGTAGGAATCTGAGAGGTATCCGCCAAGGAGTGCGAGTATGAAGACTGTCCCTATGAAGTTTGTGACTGTGTTTGCAGCCTTTGACAGTGAAAAATGCATCTCATTTATTACATATGTTATGAGGTTGTTCCCAACCGCCGCTATAGCCATTATCTCGAACCCCTGAACTCCTGTACCATAACCATTACAAACATTAATAAATAGATATATAATATATATTTGTTCACAATTTAATTTTTGGAAATCACTAGAAATGTTTTCGTGGTTATTATTAGCTTTTAGATATACATGTAGAAACACGTTGACGAAATTATTAATGTAGATGAATTTTAGTTTAAGTTTGCATCATATCATGAATTAATTATATAATTAGTAAGGAAGAGAAACAAGAATTGTTCTCTCTCACACACACACACTTATTGAGAGAGAGAGAGAGAGGACCGAGAGCAAAGGCAGCAGCTCTCATCCCACCATGCTTAAGGGGATTGGAAGGCCGTCCCCTCCAATCAACGGTGCCATTAATCTCTTCACAATTACTGTTTTTTTCTCCCTTCACCTCCATCACTTTTCTTCACACACACAAACACAAGTGAAAGAAGAAAACTGCAAAAAGTGGTGTGATATGTAATTTTCACACCCCAATATATTTAAGCTATTCTAGTGTGGGTGGGTGGGTTTTTTCTCTAGTGTGTGTGTGTGAGTATGTTGGGTTGAATTGAAGGTGAGTAAAGGGGAGCGTCCATATTTATACACAAACACTAGGCAGAGGGTGTTGACTTTCCATTTGAATTGGAGGCCACTTTTTGTGAATAACAATATTCACTCGCACTTCTCAATTGCCCACCACTTCCTCTTCTAATTATTGCTTCATATATCCCATCAACGTCCAAATACATATGTCGGATTCTACGTAATCAATACTGACGTGAGTACTTCGACGCTCAAATCAATAATTAAAAGTAGGATAAATATGGTAAGTAATGTGGATTATTAAAAGATCAAAAAGTAAGAAAGAGAAAAGATTATTTCAAGTGTACCTTATACCTTTTATAAAATGAATACCTTGATGTCCAATTAATTATGTGTCTTGTTGCTCAAGGGTTGCCCAAGGTACAAACATGCTGCCTAAGGGCCGCCCGAGGTTCATCCTTATTTGATTGTGTTCATCCTTATCTGGCTGTATTCACACTGTTGAGTTCACATTTCATGTCCAATTGCGTTTGTAGGTCCCTTCTTACTTAGGCCGAACTACTGAGGTCAATAAGTTGTAGTATATTTGTTGTTTGTGAATATAAAAAAGACGGCTTAAGGAGAATGAAGAAAACGAAACAAAAATCAAAGTCGAGGCACGTAATAGTTACGTTCTCCTTAAGACGAAATTGCCCCGTAAAATACCCACGGTTAACAGTAAACGCCTCCAAGATACAACAACTTTCGACTTGTATGTAGTGGTACTTCAAATATACAAGCCTTCGGCGAACACTACTATTGTTTGGAACTCTCAAGACTCATTGAAAAAATCAAAGAACGCAATTTGCTATATGATCTTTGAAAAGTAATGCAATAGCTCTCTAATTTTCATGTTTATAATGATTTCAAGTATATGGGTATTTATAGATGTAGGTAAACACCTCCAAGAGGTTAAAGTGTCAAAAGACACCTTTTGGGACGTGCCCGAACGAGAACGGATGCAACTAGTGGCCAAAAGATACCTTATGGTCACCAAGGGTTGCGGCCCTTTGATTTCCGCAGCTAGTTGCGCGCCCGTGCGCCGCGGGCTCGTACGAGCTCATACGGACTCGGAATCGAGTTCCATTTTTTTCTACTTGTCCCAGCGAGTCATTCTACAATTCTAGCATACATAATGCATGATTATTGCTCGTTTAATTTTTCAAACATTTATCAAAACATAATGATTTTCGAATCCAATAATTTGAGTTACTTAAACTCATTGCTTTAACTTTACATTTTCCACATATACAACTTAGAATTTATTTCTCATTCACCTTAAAATGGTTTTGAGAATTTTCTATGTCTTCCACTTACAAAAAATGGAACCGTAAATCAGTACAAAACCAATTTTTTCTTACAATCCCCCACATGAATGAAATTAATGCATGTATGCAATACTTGAGAGTTCCGGCGAACCGTCATTGCATCAGGATAGATAGCTTGTGGCTTTGAATCTTCCTTAGTGAAATACTATCGGATACACTAGCCGGTTAGTAGCGCGATGCTTTGAACTTACCGGCTGTTTGTGTGCACCAAGACAATAGTACTCACACAACAACAACTCTAACAATTTCTTGTTCTCACGTTGTGTCCATTTTGGCCTTGGACCATATCTCGGTTTAGTAAGTGCTCATTGAAGCGGCCTATTTACTTCTCACTTACATAGGTGATTCTCCTATAAAGAGTATCCTGCCTTACTCCACCCGTAGGTATAGGAATCATTAAAAGTCCTTGACTTAGCCTCACCACTTAGGCAGATTTTAACACTTGACGGTTCTAGAAATAAGCAAAAATTTTCAAGTGTTTCACTGAACTGTCAAAACTTAGTTTTTCCATTGAACCAAGGTTTCGGGATCTCCGATTCTCATGGTTGGGTTACCGCTAAGACCGTTCGTTTGTTGTGGATTTTTATTAAGCTCATTCCCCTAACCAGTTTGTACAATTTATCTCGTTTCTTGCTTTATGTAAACGGATATGTTAGGTTAATCTTTGACTTCACATAGTCAACCGATGTAACCCCCACACGAGATAATTTTCTTATTGAAATTAAGTCTCCGACATCTATGTCTAGACTTACAATTGTACAAACTACTTTGCGCTCTTCCAATTGTTGATTGATAAATAATCATCTCCATGAGCACAATTTATTCCACCTAGGAATATATTTTAGGAAATTTGTAAGTCATTAGCTTCTTCCACGCCTTTAGTCCAAATTTATAAACTCGGACATCATTGTGGATCTAGCTTTATACTTAGATAAATTTCATGACACAACTCTACCCACCTAAAGTGAACACGTATTCACATTTTGTCTTAGAGTTTTTCATGTCTAATACACTATTCAGCACGATCAAAATTCATCGCTCGAGTTACTCGTGAATATCTTAGTTTACTCACTAAAATGCAACATTGAGGCGATTACTATCCGACAAGTACCTCAAGCCTCCAATTATTCAACATAATTTCGCCGACAAACTAATTATTCTTGAATTCTTAGCTAAGTGTAGAGTCAATTATACATTCTCTTTAGCTTGAGGTTTTATCGAATACATCGATCCTCTTCAACATACATTTGACATGATGAGATTGTGTCAAACAATTACTTCCGATTTCTTTGAAACTCAATCTAAGAAATTACACCAAAATTTCACAAATATTTTCATGTCAAAATTAATCTTCTTGGTATTCATGAACACATCATGATTATATTCCAAGATCATCACATTGTCTACATAAGACTTACGATCACAAAGAGTCGGAAGAACCTTCATAGACTCATTTTGTCATTCAATGAAGCTGAAACCATTCGACAAAATTATTTCAACAAACTTTTCATGACATTATTTAGGTATTTCTACCTTAGACCGAACACCCCCGCATTTCAAGGTATATGTACGAATGCTTTTGCTCTTTTTATAACTCAAACGGAGTTTTGTATCTACCTTCGTATGGTGCTTTCCATGCCCAAACACCCCCACATTTTAAGGTATATGTAAGAATGCTTTTGTTCTTTTTATAACTCAAACGGAGTTTCGTATCTACCTTCATGTGGTGTTTGCAATTTTGTCGAAATAACTACTTCTCACATAAGCATTTAGCTTAAATTCAAGCTTACCAATAAGAATTATCACCTACTAAAGAGTGAATATTTCTTTCTACTATTTCATTGAATATCAACATCATTCATATGTGACTTAAAGCTACAAAAGCTTTATGACAATACATTGTGCTTTCTTATTTTCGATTCGAGTTTGCACAAACTCTTAAATCACATTTACTGGTGTGACTTATCTCGAGAGGAATAGTCAATTAAGCAATCATTTCATACGATGCTTTTGTCACTTTTTCATTTTAACACACTTTTCATATTTGTTGTATGAATCAATTTAGATTCACCAACTTCTTGTGTTAAAATTCACAAGCACTAATTTATCATGCCATAAATTAGAACACTCAATAAATAAGACCAATTTATTTATCTTTTCATCAACCAGTAGATTACAATTTTACAATAATTGTAAGATGACCTTTATTAAGGTCTACTTATGCTAAGAATACATCATATTTTGATATAACATACTTGTCGATGATCATAAACTAATCTAAATCCGGCCTTACTCAATTAATGGTCCGAAAACTAGATTCTTATGGATGTCTTGGGCATGAAGAACATCTACGATCTTCAATATTCATTCTTAGCACACTACCTCGTCATTTCCTTCAACATTTGAAGTCAATGAATTTCAAAAATACTTCCTTCCGTAGTAGGGTTGTAGGACAACATTTATAAACGCCTATGGGTCAAGTGGCTCGTGTTCTTATCCGCTATAAACATGGAATTTTAATCAAGTAAGTACTCGAACCATGACGGAAAGATCAAGTTCTGACAAGTATTATCTTGTCCTCGACAATTCGCACTATCCTTTACCCTTCTTCAGAAGTTAGTAAACTTCGACAAGATACCCGGGTTTGTCACCATCGCAACAGCATCCCTTGGACTTCTAGGCGTCCCATTTCGGTTTGCCATGAAAAGCGTTTCTACACTTCTTACACGAGCTTGACTCGACCAAGTTTGCCTTAGCCTCTAGCTTGCTCCATTTGACCAATACTTCAGATTTTCAATTATTTTATTTTATCCGAAGACCATCTATCAAACCCTCGAGTTTCATTTCTTTGCATCTATGCATGAGATAACTTCTTGAAGTCGTTCCAGAAAGGAGACAACTTTCCAACAATAGCCGCCACTTGAAAGGCTTTGTTCACAATCACTCCATAGGCCAACATATCCTAAAGGATGATTTGAATCTCTTGAACTTGATTAACCACCAACTTTGTGTTAATCATGTACTAAAGGAATTTACCGACAAAAGTTCTAGTGTCGTTATCTTTCATTTTGTACGTTGATTTCTAAGAGTTCCACAATTCCTTAGACGTCTTAACCGGGCTATACACATTATATAATGTCTTTTCTAGTCCGTTAAGTATTAAATTTCTACACAAGAAATCATTATGATGCCAAACATCCAAGACCATACGTTTTTGGACGTTAGTCTCACTTTCGGGGACGATCAAAGAGTCCTCCGAAAGTAAACAAGAGAAGGAGAGAGTTGTGAGGTAGAACACATCTTTTGTTGCCACCTCTTGAAATCAAAACCATTGAACTTCGGTGGTCTCTCGCCTTGGACGGAACGGCTACCATCAGAGTAAATGGATTAGTAACCGGTGCAGCGGTTGATTGAGCACTTGAAGAAGACTTTTGTTTCCCATCGGTTGCCATCTTATGAACTCACAAAAATTTCGTCTTTGTAGTATATTTGTTGTTAGTGAATATAAAATATAAGTCTTAAGGAGAATGAAGAAAACGAAACAAAAAACAAGGTCGAGGCACATAATAGTTACGTTCTCATTAAAACGAAATTGCCCTATAAAATACCCACGGTTAACAACAAACGCTTCCAAGATGCAACGACTTTCGACTTGTATATAGTAGTACTTCAAATATACAAGCCTTCGGCGAACACTACTATTGTTTGGAACTCTCAAGACTCAATGAAAAAAATCAAAGAACGCAATATG